TAGTTTCATATGTGAGGGCGCAGTACACCGAGAGAGAGAGAGAGCATTCCATACTCTATCTCAATTTTAAGACATAGTTATTTCAAAAGAAAAAATTAGATCAAAAGTTGTCAATTGATTTTGAGAAAAAAAATTACTAAAAGCATAACTGGTAGAAAAGAAACTTTCTTATTGAAAATGACAAAAATATGGTCGATATAGTGAACAAACCGTCCTTAATACGGCCACTTTTCAAAACATACGCATTTACTACTCTATATTATAAGCGATCCATAAGCGGATGCTGTTTTGTTATCGCTTATTGCGTGGTTTTGTGTCTCATTCAGGGATGATAATGGTAACAATATGATGAATGGGCCCCCACTTCAAAAAATAGTTAGATTTGCTATGATACATTGGCGGCATTGACGGAATTCCGTGAATATTATGTGATATAACAACAAAGTCGAGGGTGTCTATGCTTCGTCGTATATTTTGCATGCTGAATTCCATTGACTGTCTCTTTTTCTTCTCAGTTGAATCAAGAATTTTGTGCATTTTTAAAGCCATTCACGAATTTTATCTAGAAAATTGGCGATTAAGACGGCTCCATCGTCAAGAAGTGGCAGAGTATACATCCAATATTCAATTGAAATTGTGAAATGAGCAAAGAAATTTGTTATTGAAATGACGCATTGCTAAGCGTCTATATCGATGTCTATCATAGGTCATGGAGCGAGAGAATTTACCATCTATGAATTTTTCGGCAAAATTTATTTTTAACGGCCAAATCAGATATGAAAATGGTGAGCAATTTCATGCGCCAGTACGGGGCAAATCGTAGTAAATGAAAAACATATGCTTTGGGAGTTAATTAAATTTAATTGACTACTAACAGTCAGTAAGTGCAATCAAGTATTCAATCTATGTATATAAATTAGTTCAGCCACTCGTAACCGTCCATATCAACCAATCACACATTCATTTTTCCCCATTCTTTTCCATTTAACAACATCAAAAAGCAGAAGAAGAAAAAAAAAGAATGAAAATTGTCCAAATGCATGCCTAAAATCGTACGGTATAACTGTTGTTGTTAACGGTGTGTCTACCTCGTTCAACTGCGATGTTAATATTTCTGACTTGTTTTTTTTTTATTTTGGAATGAAAGCGAGAAAGAGAGAGAAAAACAACAATAAAAGCGTAGAGTAAGATTCCCTTCAAACATTCCCATTCTGTTTAATTCCATCGATATATTCATTGCCGTCGCCTCGTCATCACGTTGTTGTCGTCATCGTCACAATGAATGTGTGCACAAGAAACTAACCGAAAATTTGCACACTAAACCAATCGCTAGCTGTGCCGCTTTCAACCTATTTCCTAATTTTATTTCTAGTTGATTTCAGCCAATACGCCGACGGCGATTTGTACCCGTTTTGTGTACGAGCTTGTAAGTGTATGTGTACGTCGTGTGCGTATATATATTTAAACATAGACATTTTCCAGTCGTACTGTATTTCTCGATTAATGTACCAAAAAAAGAAAGAAATCCATATGTTTTCGCACTCACATGATTTATTTCAATGAATTTAAGTGAAATCAAAGGGTATTATTCGATCAACAGACTCGCTGGAACAAACTAATATTTAAAATAAATAACAGCAAAACTCACACTGAGACAAATAAAATGAACGAAAGAGTGTGAGAGAGAAGGATATCCATAGATTTGAAATCTGTTTTGTTGTTGTAGTGATTCATAAAATGTGTACAGTATACATTGTTGTTTAGCGAATCAACAATGTTCAAATGAATAAACAAAATGAAAAAAAAGAAGCTGTTTACACATTAGAATTGTAACTGCCTAATATTTGCTTCGACGGCATCGAATGCAAAAGGCAAGACTTTGAAAATGCAAATCGCTACAGTGTTTAACAGTTGCTCCTCTTTGCTTTGCATATGATTTCAAAATGCATTGTGATTGAATCAAAAGCTATTCGCACCAAAATTTCTCCAATTAAATTCAAAGAATGTGTGCGTCTTTGTCGAAAAAGACAATCAAAATGGTAATATATTCGATTTAATTATATCAATAAAAATTGGAGATACATATCAATAGTTTCGCCTACGGACAATATTTGTCATGGAAAGGAATCAAATGCCATATCAAATTGTTTTGATTTTAATTGAAATCGCTTTTTAAAAATTGCGATAGTTTGGCGGAAAACTTTTACCTTGTAGCCGACTTTCGTTCGCTTAAATAACTGTATTGTATCGTAATTAATAAGAAAAATGCGACTCATATTGAAAGTGATTGAAGGTAGTATAGAAAATCATTTTTAACACTTGTTTTATGTTCCATTTTCCACGTCTAACCGCATTGTTTGCGATTCAAATCGGTCCGATTGTGTGGTGCGAGCATGTTTTTCAGCGTCAAAATCTCAAACTGAATTGAATAATCGATACGTTGACAACTCACTTAATAGTCTCAATTTTTACTTTCTACACACCGAGACGGCGAGTTAGACGGCAATATGTGTTGTCTTTGATATTTTTTGATTTCCTTTTGATGCCAAAGTAATTAATGTTCATCTCTATTGACATTTCAAAGTTCAATGGAGTTTTTAGTTGCGGCGCTTTCATTATTCACTGATCTCCGTGGGGATTTGGTATATGTGTTTGTGCATGGATTTTCAATGCGATACAGATTCCAGTTAATATTCATTATTTCGAATATGTCAGCTTTCAAAGCTCATGAGAACAGTCAATCAGACATCACATTCATACGCACTTCTTGTTCAATTCGAATAAACGATAGTTTTTCATTCGTAAAAGAAACCGCGATATTATTAATATTCGATTCTTCATTCGTGTACTATTCACATTTATAGTGTGATTTCTATCGTACACAGTTCACCTGTAAATAACATATTCATTTGTGCGGTTTCGTGCATGCACGTGTCCACTCGTTTCGTCGTTTTCATTTCGATATGAAATTTTACATACATATTGATGATTTTAACAGCGAAAGAACCGCGTGTTAGCCAAACACGCCTAACTGAACTGCAATGACGAATCAATAATTGTTAAATAATATTTGTTGGTATTGTGAAGATAGAAGACAGTATATTATACAAAAAAAAAATGATCACGATCATTTGTTGAAAGAGAAAAAAACGTGCAATTAAATGAATTTACAACTAACACAACAAGAATACACGTTCAAATTAAAAAAAAAATCATCGTGAACATATATATGGCTATTTAGAACCAAAAACTATGGCATGTAACATTCAAATTTGAATATTATTTGAAAAGAAAATTCTGATTCCGGTCGATGTTCAACAATTCGAAAGTCCATTCACTTTTTTATTCGATTTTTACAAATGCGAAACTCATATTTGCTACTATTCACTTTTGATGACTGAAATGTGATGCTCTCTTCCGTGGGAATGTATCCAACTGAACGTTATATATTTAGCATTTTTAAAGAATTATTGGAAAATAAAACATTGCATTATCATTGTCGCTTATTAAACCAAACACAAATACATAGTAATTACTGACTGACTAGTCAGTTAACTAATTTGGAACGTTTGTGACTTAAGCCAACTGAGATTAAAGTTATTTAAAGTTGATTTGCTCGATTTTTCAGTCGATTCCAGTAGAGAAAAATATAACTCAAATCAACTTTAATCACAGTTGGCTTTAGTCAAAAACGTTCCAAAATAGTCGTCTTGTTTAAAATCAGAAAAATAGACGGTTGAAGTTTGGATAGACTGGATATACGGTCTTAGTAAACAAATTTTCAGATTTTATTTCAGCTGTTCAGTCAGTCACTTTTTTCAAATGATGGAACAATGAGTAATGATGTTCAAAAGTTTTGCGAAACGAAATTCCAAGAAAATTTTATGAACTTTTTAATTTAAAAAAAAATGTGCGAACTTATTTCAGTTATTTATCAATTTACTTATTTCAGTATTTCGCCATATTTCGCAAAAGAAAAAAAGTAAGAGATATTTAAGAAAAAATCTTCGATATAATCAAATGGACCTTTGTCGATTCTTCAAATACTCATTTGTATGTCACATATGTTTTTTTCATAAATCTTGATTCATGTATATTATCGTTTCAAATAATTAAGCCAAACAATTGTTGGCATCAACGAATCGATGCATTGAGTCGGAAATTGGGTTGACAAATGTATATATTAATAATGAAATTAACCTCTGTCGAAAATAATTGATATGCAATAGGTTGATTTAAGAAATAAGAGTTGAATGAATTGACTGATTGCCCGTAAAATTGAAGTCACACTACATTGTATCTAACTGTTGTTTCTTTCTAAACATTCAAAACCCAAAGGGACTGTTAAAATCTATTCGAGTTGCAAATTAATCGACACATTGGAATTGATTTAAAATTTTATAAAACTGGTATGGTCAAATTACATGAATACTGTCGACATTTTTTTTTCTATCATCTAATCTTTAATTTCTCGTTTTGATCGATCAAAGACATTTGGATATGATTGACGTTTTTATTGATGTTCAATCACATGGTTGATAAAATCTATGTTGCGAATGTAATGTAATTGCTTTCTGACTTTTAGTAGTTATTTTCACTTTTTTTGCATCACAAATTGTTTTTTCGGTCATTTGTCATTTAAAGTTTTGTTCATTATATTTCCGAAAGAAGTTAATTATAAGCTCATGCGTGGATTTGGTAATTTTTTTTATTGGAACTTCAAGAACCATACATTTCATACATAATTATTTCCATAAAAAAAATGCTTGCTTGAGAAATCTTTCATGTGTCTTGAGGTTTTGGCTTTATTCAACTTTTCCCACAAATCAAACATATCGTTGAGTAATCGTATGGCAGCTCCACTGATTACGAATTCGATAATGTAATTTACATGAGTGCCGCATTGTGGCGCTAACTTAAGCTAATAATATTTTCCGGTTACCCAGCTGTAAAAGCTCAAGTAAGCCAACACATGTAATTCAACTACTCGATACACTTACCCATTGAGCGCTGGCGTCGTATGAAGGAACACAACGGAAAGACATTGCTGTTGTTATTTCGTTGTCCAATGAATGTCTATGTACGGTGCTTTTCAATGATTTTCTATTGGTCTAGCAAATGTTCAGTTCTCGTATGTGTTATGTAGAACATTCAAAGCACTTGTTAAAATCTGAAATTAGAAAAATACCAACAACATAACTATTAGTTAAATTAATCTACTGAGGTGAGCCTTGAATCATAATAAAATTGATATCGAATGTGATTATATAAAATATATGGTATATGATGTGTTGACTAATTTTGACCAGTGTCTATAGTACAATGGATTATAATACAACGATAAATTATAATTTTTCTCTCGAGTCTTTTTGCCCGGCGAGTTCTGTGTTGTCGAGCATTTCTTTATGCACGCACATTTTCTGATCACCACACATGGTTAACCGTGGCACGCTTGATCCGATTCCAACGAAAAGGTGAATAAAAAGAACAACAACCATGCGTGTACGTGTAACATTCCAAAAATATTTTCATGACATCGAAATTGATATTTCGTTTGGTTCGATTTTTCGTTAAAGTATCATCAATATTGAGATCAATTTGACATGAGTTCACTCAGCCGCATGTGTGTACTTTGAAGGCCATTGCATTTATGACGAAATGAATCATCATCATTTCATTAGTTTTGCGAGTGAATGGATGCATGCTTTATCATAGTTCAATTAATTTACAATCTCTCTTCAATCAATTCGGCTTTTTTTGGCAATATTTTCTGCTTCAGCCATATCATTACTGACAATCATACGAATGGTTTTATTGACAAAGTGATTGGAGTTTACATATGCTGAAGGGCCCGAATTATCTTTGATTAAGTTAAGTCATTGATTTTCCGATTCGAATTTATGGATTTGAAAGAGCACAACTTTCCCTTATGATGTGGATTTATTGATGCACTTTACCGCTTCCTCATTTGTCACAGAGATAATAATGCTACTGCCAGCGAAATCGAAAGAAAAGGAAAAATGAAGATAGAGAGCCAACAATCAGCAAAAAGTAAAAAGTCTTGACTGCGAATGTGTCTGCTTAATCACGATATGGCAATGCTGTGGCCACGATAAATTATCTGTGGAATGTGGCTACAATTTTACTGTGTCGTATTTTTATGTGTGCCGGTTATTTAGCTGGTTCAAAGTGTTGCTGTATGGTTGCGTTTTACGTCGTGAACAAATTAAACAGTATAGAGCAAAATGCAAGACACAATACATGAACAGAACGAAAACGTGGACGCAACATTTTTGGTGTACAAAACCAATCGGTGCACAAATATCGAATAGACGGATTTGTAACAGAACATCCTTCGGTATTCGGACGGACTAACTGGCGAACGAGTAAGCGGGCAAGAACTGGGCGAGTGAGTGAGTAAGAGAGAGAGAGAGAGAGAAAGAAAAATAAGAGAAAACCAATTATCGTCAACATTTTTATTATACAGAAAATGACCGGTATGTGTTATCCACATTCTTTTTAGTATTAAATTCAGACCCAACATTTTGCACAAATCTTGTACGTGTGTGTACAACGGTAGCTTAATAACACACTTAACAAAAATCAAATGTTCATAAGTAAAAATGAAAATTATAAGTTATATTCGATTGGAATATACAGACGCATACTTACAGCGTCCGAGCCAGAGAGCGCGATAGTGATACAGAACAGAAGACAGCAAAATTAGTACGCGCTGAACATTGGTTAACTCAATGAAATGCGAATTATGTGCGAGTGTGTTCATTTTATTGCAACTGAAAAATGCCTATTGCCATTCTACTGAACCGAAGTCCGACACACACACAATTGACCGTACAGATTCAAGGTGGCAAAACAAGTGTGGTGGTGATATGTGTGCGCATGAATCATCCATGATATTCAAAACATTCAATAGAATCCAAATGAAGTGTATCAACATGCATTTTAAAAAATGAGGAGACTACCGCTTCAATTTAATTTGTAAAAGTATCCGTAAAATTTCTCGGTTTAAATAAGTTATATGCGCTTTTTAAGGACACAAATTATGCTAAATAGGTGAAAATTCTTTGTAAACAACAGCAAAAATTCAAAATTCATTATTATCAGACATCATTAGCGAAATACTATGCCTTTGCGACGTTTCCACAACTCTTTTCTTCTCAATTCGAAAATCCCAAAAGACAAATAAAATTGCGAAGTGAATCGCATTTGAAATAAAATACCATTAGCGTGGCACAAGTTGAAAAAGAAGGAAAATTCGATTTTATGTTGATAGTTTCTAAAGAGTTTACGATCTTCCTGTCTATCTATTCTGTTTCATTTGGGATGAATCTATTTTCGTACATTAGATATGCGAAATGGTTATATTGCCATTTTGATTGATTTTCATTCCTCTGGTTATGTGGTTTTCTGCATAATTTCTCTCTCTCTCTCTCTCTCTGTCTGTCGCTGTGCCTCTCTCTATTCAGTCATTTAAATCATACGTGTGCCATTGCAACGTAACTGGATTTATTCGAAATTCACTGCACACAGTAAAATGTTTAGTATGTGTCCATGTCCATTGCATTCTTGGATCGGTTTTTGTGTAAATTTTATGGCTGTTTTTTTTTTTGTTTAAGAATAGTTCTTGCAATAAATGAAATGCTAAAAACCGATCTGCACAGTCTTCGTTACACATATACTTCGAGCTGTGTATATTTGCATCTTTGCAGATTTACTAAATGCGGCAATTGATAATGCACATGTAAAATGCTTTGCGGAAATGTACAACGTTCAATTAAGAATTCATTACATTTCGGATGTTAACTGTGAATATTAACATGCATTGCATTCGTTTGCAAGTAGATAATAATTTGCGTGTGCAATTCTTCTTTTTTTTTTGTTTCGATTTTAAAGCGATGCTTCCTAAACAATTGATATGACTAGACTCGGGAAAATCGAATTAAAGTTCTCCAGAGGTGATTTATTTCAACATAAATGTATATTATAAATTCCGAACCGTTTATCGAAAAACAATAATTTTACATTTCAATGACTTTCTTTGCATCAATTGTTTTTTAATAAAAAAAAACCCCAGCCACATTTGGCAATTAAAGAAACATAATCAAAAATCAATTAACATGGCCTTTGAATTGAGTCCGAAAAAATCTGTGTGGACCAACAACGATGCAATTTATGTTTTTGTTCCGCATCAATTTAAACAAATGATTGCTTTTACATGGGATTTGTGACCTGTGCAGAACATCAAATCGAAGATAAATTTGAATATTGGTTATATCTTTGGTATAATAACAATATATAATTTATACGCTCAGAGAATATGGCTCGTAAAACAGTATGCAGATTAACAGCTCGACATAACTAAATATCCATTGCAAATTAAAATCAAATATTCATTGCACACTTTGCACCGCTTTGCACAGAATGGGCAATCATTCTAGCCACATGACAGATCAAATGGGCCACATGCGTTTCTCATTTACGGAACAATGTCGGAGAAGGTAAAAACAACATCAATAATAAGTATGCAAGCGCGTCAAATATTGGCACAGGTTCGTTGCGAGACGGTGAAAAAAAGACACCCATCAAGAGGAGATGGGTAGAAAAAAAATAAGAATTATTAGTTTGTACCATGTATGCAATACGTTGATGACCATACACCGGACATCGTTTTCTGTCTTCGATGTCATTGTAAATGCTACTCATATTTATATATAAAAAGAATGGACTACAGATTACAAATCTTCGGTTAAACTGCATTTCTGGATTTCCACACTTGAATAACCCGTGCTAAGCTATATTTATTTATTCTTCTTCTTTTTTATTTGAGTGACTACGTACTTTACAAGTCACGTTACAATAAACAGATGCATTTTGTTCGAGATTCTTTTGCTATAGCACACCGTCAAAATAACATCTTCTACGTCAAATGAAAAAGTTTTCATTTGCATTTTATACGTGCTATTTTCGCACAAATACCCGGCTATTGCTGGTTTTGATATTGCATATCGTCCAAAACCGATTATTGATTTATCTTAGGACTATTTTGAGAGAAAATCGATCAGAAATGGAATTTTTGTTAAAACCTGTCAATTCATTATGACCTTGTTTATTATTAGATCAATTAACAGCGAAGAAAATGTCACATTAAAATCCATTTGAAGTGCATTTGCTATGGCTTGAAATAGAAATATACATAGTTTTAATGAAATGTCAATGACGATATTGGCGTTATATTTAAGCAATATTTCCAGTCAGAGTGGTGCATCATCAAATTCATAGTAACGAAATACATTCTTATATAATCATAAACGTTTAAATAACGAAAAGGTACGAATGTGTATTTGGTGACCATATTGTATATCCGCAAAAGTATGCGCATGCACGATTGAACGCTTTCGATTTCAATGGTTCATGTTTCTTTCTCCATTCCATGCCTATGCTCGAAGCAATGGTGCAGCACAATTTTCACAGTGGTAAATGTAAATTGCAAATATGTAAATGTATTTAGCGCGCTGACTTGAACCATTTCGTATCTGCTTATGTTATATGAGGTCATAAATCATATATGGTTAATTGTGCAATTAAAAGACTGCTCATTCATTTTGTATTTGAATAAATTTTAATTAAGTAATTTATCGTTTGTTTTGGTTTTGCTGTGAACTATCAATGAAAATGCGGTGCATCATTCGATGATCGATCGATCCGAAACGAATGATTCGACTTTTTTTTCTCATTCAAATTCGATCGATATATCACCAAATTTCAATGCAATAAAAATATTTTAGACATAATTATTGGCATTAAGTTTATTACATGCTTACGTGCCCCGAAAATTGAATTGCGTGGTTAAATTAAGAATCTTTTCGTTGGGCGTTTGTACGTTTCATGCTGTTCACTTATATTTTCAATTAATGCATTTATTTGGACACACGCCAGAGATGCTCTCAACGCACGTAACACACGAAAAAAAAAACACACAAATGCAGACGAAACAAGCATTATGACCGATCGGAACCATTGTGCCGATCATACACTGAGACGCGCAAGTTTATGAAACGAGAGTGCCGAGCGCACTTCTTTTGATTAGCCTTTTTCGTTTCGGATATGTTGTTGTTATTGTTCATCATCGGTTGGTTTGTTCGAGTTTGGTTTTCAACATTGATTTCTTCATTTTTATGGCCCAATGTTCAGTTTCGGTTTCAATTTATTTGTTGTTTCTATTCAACGCTTCAGTTAAAGTGAAGTATGCGAAATCGTTTATAAATCATTTAAATTTTTTGGGTGCAAGCGTTAACGAAGACGGAAATTTCTGTGTGGCTCTTTCTCTTCAGTTGTGGTGTTGCTGTTTGCTGCAGCAGACGGTAATGATTATTGGATTATTCGCTTCGTGCATGAGATCGTGTTTTTTTTCTTCATTCTTTTAGCTGTTTTCAACTCGGTGCTAATACGCTATGATTAGCGTGGTTTCTTTCCTGCAATGCGTATGTCTTCCCGAGTATATAATCCAATTTGATTTAGTAAGTTAAAAGCAGCAAAAAAAATGTGTGATAGGAATTTCAACAAAAACTGCGCAGCACTCACAACAAACCACAAAAACGCACATTTCATTTCATAACCATCGACAAGTTTTGGAAATACCAACACAAGAATAAAGTACACACGGTAATGCCGGGTAATGTTCACCTACTAAAACATCAAAATAAAAACAAAAAAATTCGTTCAGAACAACAAGACACAGAGAAAACACACACACACACAGTAACTGCTTCGTCTGACTAAAGGTTTCTTCATTTGCGATCGTTTAAATAAGCACTTTTATTTTATCGTGCGCTAAAAATCCACAATACAGTGTAGTGTTTTTTTTTCTCGCATCAAATTAGAGATGAAACCGCGCATTATGCAACATAAAGAAACCAAAAGAAGTTTAAACGAGCCGGTTGAAGTAAAATAATTTACAAAGTTCGTGGCCTAAAAAACAACACCAGGCACGCGTACAGACCATTATTTATCGGATGCAATCGGCAATTAATCTTGAGGTCGGTAAATCAAGTGATTTCAATTCAATTAGAACATATTTTACATTAGCAATTCAATCTAAAACATTTTCACACATTTAACAGCTCATTTAAAAATTAGCAATGTGCTTAGAGAATGTATATACATGGTCACACATTTTCTTTGTGTAAAATAAAAGGTGAGCGAAAGGTGATGATTGTCTCGTTTCAATTTTTATTACCGATTCAATTGAAGTAAAACTGGTTACGGATGATTTGTTTTTCGCTCTCTTTATCGACACTATTTTTACTGTTGCCGTGCAAGTGTCTGCTTTTCAACTAATTTGGTAATCTATATTGAAAATAGACGAATACCAAAATTCACGGTGACAATGAAAATTCACTTTTTTTTGCACTTGTTTATTTACTTAACCGATGTGGATTAACAACGATCCATAACTACCTGCCACTCAATTATAATTCAAATTTAAACCCATTTGTCTATTTTAAATGTAATTCGTTCCTAATTTTTAAAGACTAGCTAGGTCATCATATACCAGTTGAACGATATTATTGCTGGAAAAAACCGAGAGAATTATTTCTCGTATTATTCTTCTTCTAATTTTAGTATATATATATATCAAACCATAATCGGGATCATCATAAAACATATGAGTTAAACAATAATATCATATCAACCACAATCACATGATGATATGGAATGGGTAATTTATTTCAATGGTTTCAATTCATTCTGATGTAATGAGCAGATGAAATCAAAGTTAATTTACCCAGAACTTTTTTTTAATGGCGCTAACATGTTCGGTTTGTGCCGTATCAATGGTTTGCCTCAAAACAAAATTCATATTTTGACACCGAAGCAACACGGTTTGGGCTGCATTCTTGACATCGACACATTGCCGGCATACCCTTGTCTAGTTAGACTTTTCAACATTTTTCTCGTTGAATGAATAAAAATGCGTATGCTCATTGATCGCCATCATATTTCTTCGATGAAGCAGCTCGATCAATCCGGACTACGTTAATTACGCTTCAACCATAGAACATTGAAGACGAACATTGTCGACAAATTGCTCATCATTTCCATGAGGTGCATGTGCATCAGCATCGAATCATTCGAAATGAAGCTCACAATATTTTGGTCGATTTACTTTTTCTCTTTCGAGTATCAATGTAAGAAATTTTGAATTAAAAAAAAAAGAGAAAAAGAGTATTTAATAAACGTTTCATATTTGATTGTGTTGGCTTGACGATTTGTCTGCGTTTTTTTTTGTTCTATCGGCTTATTTTTGTTAACATTGTTTTTTTTTCCTGATTTCTTTTCCCTTTTACAAAAACTCCACCACAAATCGACCGTCTCGCATGAATCACTATAATTAGGCGTTGTCTAAACATTTTTTTTTTTTTCATTTCGTTTTCAAACATTGAACGATTGTTCAAAGAAACACGAAATGCTGCTCGAAAATTGATGATATAAGCCGTTTATTTATTCATATGATCGAATAAATTACAGTTGACTAACAAATAGACGATTGATGACATCAACTGATCAGCTATTATTAGGATTTAGTTTAGTTTTTTTTTCATCGAATCAAATGTAAAATACACAAAATAATTCCGATTCTCGCATTGATTTCACATCAGCCGACTCATAAAAGAAGTATCGAAAATTGGCAAACAGATATTCACAATTAACTCGTTGAACTTTGGTTTTTCTAACACAGAGTAAACGTTATGAAGCTTTTTTCTTCTATATCAACTGAAATAAGGTCGGAATGGTTATGCATCGCAAGGATTAAACAACGAAAAAAGATGAAAAAGAAAATATGCGTCGGATTGTAACAAAAAAAAAAAGTGAGACTACAGTGTTGTACGTTAGCCAATATTCACATGGGTTTGGCAAATTATGGCATACCAAATATATATATCAAGTCTATAATTTTCAAATGCACGCAAATTTCTAAACGAAATTTTGAGCGAGAAAAAAAAGTTCACCGAAAATAAAACAAACTCGCATCTATAACACCGTTGAAGAAAAAAAGAAAAGAAAAGGTAACAATTGTGGGAATCGAAAGAACGGTCAAACACTTTGATATGAACGAGATGTGAGGGAATTTGGCAGATCAGCAATTAATTTATATACGTGTGTGTGTGTGTGTGTGTGTGTGTGTGTGTGTGCGCGCCTTGTTTTTTCGCTTTAGTTTTCGATTAACCATAATAAAATTAAAGCTTTCGTAGTAAATTTTCAAAGTAAAAGAAATTATTTTGCCGGCATAATTTAGCAGGAATTTGGCAGATACTGTTTTTATATTGTGATACTCTCTTTTACGACGTGAAGAGTTTGTACATACTTTTTTTTTTGGTATGAAGAAAAACCTATGCGTTTTGTTATGGATCACGATCGAACGTTATGAAGCTAGATGTAAATCACTGTTTTATTTTCAACATTTCAGGGTCAATGACGGCTGCATAGTGTCTCAGCCTCAACATTTCACTATTGCAACAAATCTTAAGGTGATCTTAAGACATCATTCGATTTTTTTTTTTCGATACATAAATTGTAATGCAACGAATACGCTTAGAAATGAAGAATGCTTTCGATTTCGGTTGGCTTAATTGATGATTTCAACAAATAACTGACCAATTAGTTCCACTTTGAAGAGAAATGCCATTCGATTTCATCAAATAAATGCGCATTTATGATAAAAACTGAATGTCAGTATTAGTAAAAAAAAAACATCTATTAAATAAATACAGGTGCTCGTTTGCATATCACATTACATTTTCTCATTAGAAGCGCTCCTCTTATACACAAAATCATCACACGATGCAGAAGAAAAAAAAAGTTGACGAAAAAGAGGACCAGAGACAGAGAAACAGAAAGAAAATGGACAATTCGGACCGTCCCGGCTATTCCCAGTTACTTTGAAATAACTTATTTCGGAATATGAACTGAGAATGCGTTCAAGAATGCCAGTATTTGTGCTTGTCGAAGAGAAAGAATGTATATCTCATTTTTTTTATTCGAAATAAATGAATTATTTCAGAGGTACATAATGCGCAAACGAGCAAAAAACGGGTTTATTATGCAAATTGGGTTTGCAGCTAACACATTTAGTATATATATAAGCTCTGAAATTCTCTTTGGGCTGACTCAACGCAGTTCGTTTAAAAACTTTTTGCTTTCTTTGTTTCTGCGCCAAACAAAAAACAAAGGTAATGAAAGCATTTTTTTCCCTTCTCATCTACAAAGTGTCGACCTCTTTTTTTTTTCGTTGCATACATAATTTCAATATTTTGCTTTTGTGTCCTTTTTAATGAGTTCGTCAGTAAAAATAGCTTGAAATAAAATAATTTGTTTTACTTTGAAGTTACATTGAATCGAGAAATTAAAATTGTGTTTTTTTTGGTCTGGCCAATTTCTTTTTTATTAAAATTTGCGAAATAACTATGCAAGTCAACTGTTAATTGTGTCACTGAATTATCGAAAAGAATCTTCTTACCAATGAATTATTGATAGAATATACATTAATTTCGCTTTATAAATTTCGGATCGAAACGAAATGAATGCAATCAATTTGAATGAACGTGGTAATTTTGTCGCTTATAATCGAATGTTGACGATCTCCCATCAAATGTTAATCATTACGTAACATAATAATTACTGATAACAATAATTATATGGACATTGATCAAGATATCAAAATATGTGAGATGTTCCCGTTTTTAGCCATTGACACATGTTGACATTATGCAAACAAATTCAAATGTATCAATTCAGTTGTTGTGGAAATGTTTTATGTTTTCCGTTTTGTTGGACATTTTTATATACGTGAGATCCTTGCACCATGTGGTTATGCCAATTTATTTTTTATTTTTAAATACTACTACATACGCATGAAAATGAATGAATAAAAAAAAACACTAAAAATTACGAAAGAAAATAAGAGCGACTTACTTATTTGATATGCACGTTATTAAAAGGTTGATTTGAAATGATAGACTCAAGTTGGGTGAATTTCAGCAATTGCGAATTTTTGTCGATTTCTCTCTCTCTCAATCGATGTACTATTCTTTCTTTTATCTAAATTGAGCTAAGGTGGAGGCACTTAATCAATGGTTTCAATTCTTCTATTTTCAATCTTTTGGATTGCTTTTGACTTCACCAAACTTTTTGCTTCTTCGAATCAATATTGAAAATAACAACACATTGAAATTGATAATTTATAAGCTAAACATAGAACAAAAGTATTGTTGATTTTTGCTAATTGTTTATTTGATGTAAAAACTGAGTGAATTCGTTCTTTTTTTGCATGTGTCTCTCTTATCGTTTTTAATAAATTTCCTTTATTTTTGGATTTGTCTTTAATTTGTGGGCGTTTTGAAAAATTAAGCAAATGATTTACATATTCTAACTAAGTTCACCATAATTGGTTCAATCACATATAATTTGAGGTCAATGAAACCAGAAGAGATCAACTTCGAGAGAAATTTCACCAGGAAACTTATTTGTGCGTTTGGAGATTTGAAGAAAAACAAAACCTAAACAAAAACACACTAAACATTGACACTTTTATTACAATAAATTCGTTTATGTGAAAATTTCCATGTTGAACGTTGTTTATTTTTTATTTTGAATAAGCTTTGTTCATCACTTATTTTCCAACCAGCACGTTGAGTATTCTTTGTGTGATTCGTTACGGGCTCTTTTATTAAAACATTTCGATGTTTTCGTTCGGTGATCACAATTTGATTAATTGGAGACTCCAAATATTGATCAATTGAAATTTATTATAAAGCACTTTTTTTTCGTTCAAAAATTGTTTGATTTCACTTTTCTCCTAAACGAACACACTTTGATTTAACTTTGACGGCATTTGCTTTGATTCATCTAATGAAAAGCTTAAGCATTGCTTCTGAAAACGAAACCTTTCACTATGTCCTTTTTTTAAAAAGTGGTCTATGTATATGAATTTTTGTTTTCTGCACACGAGCACTTTGTTGAAAGTTAATTAGCTGGCCAATTTACTGAAAACAATAGGTGATGTGCAATGTTCATGTTATTTTTCGGCAATGCCAATAGCAAAACTCAAGTCTATGGCATAAAGGACATTTATTAGAATGCGCCCAAAATGATTTTATCTCTACTTCGGTCACTCTTTATTTTGATCGGCAATCCGTTATGTGAGTCGATTGCACGATGTAAACCTTTTTCCAGATTTTGTGTTAAATGGTGTCCAAATTATGATTCGATCGTGTGTTATTGACCAAAATGTTTGCACTCTCTTTCTCTCTCAGCGATAGCGAAAAAAGCAACAATTGTGAATTTTTGTGAAAAAGTGGTTGACATCAAGCCGACAATTTCGGTGAGCGATCCAGTGTTTGGAGGTGATGAATTGATGGAACAATGCTGGAGGTGCAATGATGTGCTACTAATTTTTATTCCCGTCTCACTATTAACCCGATGATATGATGGTAAATGACTACTGAATATTTTTTTCGCACTAAATTCTCATCAATTCAGTCAATATGCGTACACACCGTAGAGACAACAGAAAGACATACAACACCGCTATAAATTTTTTTTTGTTTCGTAAAAAATAAACTCTTATCGAACACACAGTGAAAGATATTGATTACAAACAATGAACAAAAAAAATAGGTAGCAACAACAATGGCTAGGACGTTTTGGCGAAAAAGAATGTTTTTCCACGATGTACACAAGATATGTCGAGAAACTTAGATTGATTAGCGCGCATACGATACACACTGCGCTGTCGTTCGAATCGAACTAGCCTTGTGATGCACTCTCAGCTTGAGGGTATACGGCGCCTGAGTAAACAAACCGATCAAACAAAACAACCACATTCAAACAACGACCGAACGGCTAAATAATGAACACATACACACGGACACAGAAAGTAAGATACACTTACACGCGTGCACAAAATGTGAAAGAGAGCGACTACTATCGGTAGTCGAATCGCTCACAGGCTCACATGACAAGACCAAGTAATGAAGAAACGAAAAACGATCCAGAAAACAACGACATAAACAACAACAACAGCAACAACGACGGCAGCATCAACACCAGATTTGAATGTGCTTGTGTATGTGTGCGTATTTGTATGAGTGGTTTATTGTATGTACGAGATAAAAGAAGCGAATACACACAGTTCACATTTTGTGTGTAGAAATCGTATGAGCGAATGTGACGTACATAGATGTATGGTGTAGAAATAAAAGCATTACACACAGAAGAGAGATGAAAAAATGAACATTTACTGGTTCATTCGTACAGTACTGTGTTGTTTGTTACATTCAATGCCTGTGCTTCGAAACAAAGACACGCCTTCTGTTAACTCCCTCTGCGTCGTCTATTCTCTGTTCTGCTGCTGGTGCTGCTGTATAAGTGACTATCATCGACGTATGAAACCGAACGAATTGATATATGCAGATAGACTCAGCCCCACTACGTCAGCATTTTGCACAATATCCAACTTAGTAGAGTGCTAACGAAGCGATTTACCGTGAGGAAAAAACCACCGGCGTTTGTTTTTTTTTATATCTTCTCTGTATTCTGTTCATTTTAATGTTCATGTACACACAACGCTTTTTTGTTGCTGTTGTTGTTGTATAGTGCCCTCTCTGCAGAAGAGATATACCATTTACGGCAATAATTCATTTGTCAGTTTGTTGAGCAACGTGTATGAGTGTACACACAAAATGTTTAAACATTGCTCCAATACAATATCGAACAATGGATAATCATCAATTACTCTTCAATTGCACGCACACACACCTCCAACTATGATAGATGGTAATGTATTTAATTTCAGTCTATCTTTTTCTCAATATACAATTAATTCTTGCCAATCAATATGCGAGATATATCGATCGATTTTGAAGCGCAACAGCAATTGGCAGAAGCAAATCTAGCGCAATTAAATGAGAAGAAAAAGAAGAAGAAAAAGCAAAAAAAAAAATGGACTAGAGTTTTACATTAAATAAAAGACTTGGTCTTCTTCAATTTTATATGGAAACTGATGTGCACAAAACTTTTGGTATGAAAAGAACGACACACAAAAAAATGACTTGAAGCTTTTTTTCGTTCTGGTTATTATTGTTGTTGCCAAATGAAGCCATTCGCCTAGTAAAGTTTGTCGTTTGAAATTTCTTCTCGTCTGGATCGATCGAAATAACTTTAAAAGAACATGAAAATTTAATTTTCAAACCTGGCTGATATCCAAATACGACCGAGAATTGCCGAATGGAGGCCAAAACGAAGGCGTTTTATATGAGGAAGCTAGTCTAGCAATATTTGATTATATAACAAAAATCGTTGAAATAAAGGTCGTTGCATTGCTTAGAGCATTTCTTGCCGCTCTTCTTTCACGTTCGATACGATTTTATGTCTCGAAGGAGAACTCTACAAAAACAAAACCAACGAATGAAAAATGGAACAATTTTCAAATTGGTTGCTTCGAATACACAGAGTAACGAACAAAAAAGAAACCAACACGATGAACGGTCTCCCGAAATCGTTTCGCACAGGTCAAACGAAAAGTCGTTAACCCGAAATTCCAAATGTATTAGCCAATATATCGTGGTTTAATATGCAAAATGCCCCGGAATAAAAACATTAGATCAAATTAGACAATTTATGATTTGAAATTTTGTTCCGAATCCATTTCGGTGCATTTGATTATCCACCCCCTGAACGAAATAAGCATGTCTTTTTTTTAAACGAAACATTCCATTCCACTCTAATTAAATTGCATCATTTTTATATGCAGTTTTTGCTGTGAACATATGCTTACAAAAGGTCCTAATCGAAATATAAAAATGCTCCTTTTTGCTGCACAAATCAAAATAAATCACATGCACAAGCGTTCACATATTCAAAAGCGTTTGACGCGCGATACAGTCAGTTCGCTTTGTTAACGGGTCCATGCTTTGAAGTTTACTTAGAGACTGTTCTTTGTCGTTGACTTTCGCTTCGTCCGCACGCAATCTGCATTCCACAATGATTGCTCTTTTCGGCCACATAATGTTACATCGCTTCGATCCAGTTTTTTTTTAAATTCGCTTCAGTTTTTTTCTTTTTGGGAATTTAGTTTTATTCGAAATGGCGTTACGGTTCAGAATTATTTTTTAATTCTAAACACATTCTTCTTATTTCATCAGAGTAAAATCCACTTTTTGGAAATGAAATGTTAGAAACACATTCTAATCTCGCTCTGGATATTCGACGGTCATCATTTGATGATCGATATGTCGAATAATAAAAGATGAAATATGCACTTAATTCTTTTGATATAATAATCGATTCGTGTTGTACATTTTACAATCTACAGTAATCACACTGTGTGTTTGTGTTTATTTGTATGTGGTATGGCAGCAACAAGCTGAGGTCACATCAACTAATGGGCTAAAACTCACAAATGTTGCCTGCGATAAAAAAAAATCCAGCACTGCGCGCATACACAACGAGCCAAAATGTAAAACTGCAGAAAAATTATGTGAGTTTGAGTGAAGAAAAATTATATTTTTAACAATAATACCGCCAACTACACAGACGCATCGTGAAAAATTCGTGATAAACTTCAGGCCTTCGGGATATCAGGATCTCTTAGCATCTTTATACTGTGGCATGTAGCCGATATACATAATTTAATCGTAAAAAACGACTGGCGAAAAAAAAGAAGAAATCCTAAGAATCACCAAAAGCAAGATATTCTTTGTTTATACCATGCCAATGCTTTGTTTGCCCTGCAAAAGTTGGTTGGCTATGTGTGTGTGCGCTCGCGCTTTTTTCTGTCTTAATTTTCCATCGAACGCTAGTACAAAACTTGCACTAGATCGAATAGTAGTCAAATATATCAATATAGCATCCGTACAATGTAATTTGGCGAACAGAAAAGAAAAAAAGTTCGGTTGACGGTGTGTATGTGTGCATCGCTCATAATCCGCAAGCGTACAACAGTAATAACACGTGCATATTCAGCTTTCTTCGAACATAATTTTAATTACATTTGATCGAGTATTATTAGCCCTTTGGATTATTTCGACGGCAACGGTTGTTTGCTTCACGACTTTTCTGCTTTCAATTAAAATTGACAAAATTGATGGAAAGCAAAATGTGCAAAACAGAAACAACAATTCGTTTTTTTTATTTTATTTTATCAAATTATTGCATTGCGCTAGACATTTGTCTCGCAGATTAAGCTCAGCCGTTCACCATTTTCACGATCAATGGAATACGAAAACGTCTCATTAAAAAGATTCGAGAATATTAATAGCACGCGTACATATATTCGCTTTCATTTCATCATATAAAAACGGGAATCACATGTAGTAATATATACAAATAAAAATAAAACAAACGCTAGCCCAGACTATAACAATTGCTGCGAACATTTGGACACAATATATAACCGCAGAAGAAGAAGAAGAAGAAGAAGAAAAAAAACAGAAATATACATATAGATCGTTTGTATGCAATATGCATACTATAATAATGCAATCGACAGAATGGCCGAGGCAGCAGCACCAGCAGAGGAGAGAAAAAAACAACAACGAGAGACATAAAAAACCAACAACAACTACAACGAACAGCATGCAATGATAATAATAGCGCGCGCGGGGCCTCAATTGCAATGAGTCAACGTTGGTATTATGGCCAATCATTTTTACAATTTATATGTTACAAGTTGCAGCATAGAGACGAGTAAAAAGAACACGAGCGTTAAATCGCACTATAATTTACTAAAGCGAAAATCAACCAATCTCAAAGCATCAGCGCTCAAATTTTCAAAATGTATTTTCATTACGATTAGTGTGCATTGCACAAACACTCTTATATACATCATAGCCATATTGTATCTGCGTGTATGGTACATGTGTGTATCACAACTTAACTTGAGAGAGCGCGCACACCATATCGGTTGACGGTAACAACAATAACAGGATAAACGGAGAGTAAAAACAATAAAACAACAACAAAAAAACGAGAAAAAACCAAGAGAAAAGAGCCACATTCAGAATAAGCGCAAGAAAAGAAAGGGAAAAACGGGCGAGAGCAACGAAAAATACCTCAAGATAACGCATGCAAATGTATGGCCGTAACAACAAATGTAAATAAAATATTTTATATATATATATCGCATGGCATGCTCGTGCATTGCGCGCAAAGAATATGAGCGATTTTGATCGAAAACAATTCTGTTGCGTTGGAAATTGGCATTACACCAGTAAGAGAATAAACCAAAGCTTTGAACCAAAAGCGAGCACAAATCTCTTATCATGCTTCGGATTCGAAAGAGAGGGAGAGAGCGAAGTCCCTAAGAGAGCGTAGCCATTGCCAATACAAAATGGAAAATGGCTAGTTGCTGGTTGTTGCTCAACAAATGATAATAACAACAAGACCAACGATCGATCTTTTTAACGGCAATCGTTCGCATTTTCTTCTTCATTTTTAAAATCGTGCTCGTGCATATCAGCCATTCATTGCTTTGAACATGCTGCAAAAATAAAATGAAAATAAAAATGAAAAAAAAAGAAAAATGGAATGAAAACAAGGAAAAAATATCTCGAGGGCTATCGTGAAGGATTTTCTTCGTTAGGCTAAATGCAGATATATAAAAATCATACGGTTTATGTGTGGTGTATGTATATGAAATGCAGTATGGTATGCGCGGTATCAATTTGCCACTTCATCTCGGAGTAAAACCATTGTTTTGTTGTGCACTTAGTTTTTTCCACCTTTTTTCCATCGCCCCGTCTCTATCTCTCGTTG